GAGAATGGGTCTTGCTATATTGCCCAGGCTAAAAATCTATGTTATCTAACTGCTGTTACAGGCTGAATTGTGTCCTCTCTCCTCCCACTCACACCCCTATCCCTTGTCACCCAAATGAGTATGTTAAAGCTCTAACCCCTAGCACCTCAGAATGTAACAGTATTTGGAGATGTGGTCTTTAAAGAGGTGATTACATTAAAATGAAATAATTATGGAAGGGTCCTAATCCAACCGGGGGAAAGACAACAGGGGCGTGCATGCACAAAGATCGTGTGAGGAGGCAGCAAGAGGGCAGCCAACTGTAAGACAAGGAGAAGCCTCAGAAGAAATCAACCCAGTGGGCACCTTGATCTTTGCTATGGACCAAATGCTATGTCCTCTCAAAAACCATATGTTAAAGCTGTAATCCCCTATGTGATAGTATTTAGATGTGGGGGTCTCTAGGAGGTAATTTGGTCCTGAGAGTGAGACGCTTATGAATCAGATCTGTGCCTTTATAAAAAAAAGACACAAGAAAGGTGATCTCTCTCTCCACCATGTGAGAATACAGCAAGGAGGAGGCTGGCTCCAAGTCAAAAAGGGGACCCTCACCAGGAACTAGGCTGGCTAGCATCTTGATCTTGAACTTCCCAGCCTTCAGAACTGTGAGAAATAAATGTCTGCTGTTTAAGCCACCCAGTGTGTGGTATTTTGTTATAGCAGCCCAAGCTAATACAATTTACAATTGCCCAAGTGCCCGAACAAAGAATGTAAGATAGTGCTTATATACACATGCTAGGCACTCTTACTATTCGTCAAATTAATTAATGGAAAGGTAAAACCATAAATAGCCAGGATTTTAAGTAGTAAGCTAGATATCCTAGGAGTTACTGGAGTTTTGAAGGTAATAAGTGAACATCTAAAGCAATCCACTGTTAATCAAACACTTCACCTGCCCAGGGAGTCGTTTCCACTTTATTACTTCCTTTGACTCTTCTAATCCAGGTTCTGTGTCTATTGAGCTTGACTCATGGTGATGTTCACAATGCACTGGTTTACCTTTTTCCTCCTGAAGAGCCATCATAGAGCGGTAAGATGGCTTTATCTAAATATGCATTAAAATATGAAAATTTATATATCATGTTCACCTTTTTCTTTTACTAGCATATAGTTTTAAAAATACTGAAATAATATGAAAATATTTTCAAAATGTAATCCAGAAAAAAAATTCTACTTTTATTTGTACATTATTCTAAATAAAATAAAAAAGTTGCTTAAAACTACAGTCCTATAACCAAAAAGTCTTAAAAGTTTTTGAGGAAAAAAATGACTACAAATTTACATGAAATGATTTTAATAACTCTGCCCTTTGTTTCTGCTTCTTCACCAATACTTATGAGATATGCCATGGCTCTGATATAATACCGTATCTTTAAAATCACAAAACTAGTATCATAAAAATCTCAAGTTTTAAAAATAATTTCTCAATAATAGATTTAACTCCATCCAAACCAATGCAAATCAGTCCTGTGGTGACAGTATATATCAGCTACAGAATGTGCAAATGACCTGAAAAATTAATGTCTTATAAGAAATAAGACAAAAGCAAAACTTCTTTATTTTAGGGTCAATTCTTTGCTAAGATTATTTATAATATTAATCTATGGAAAACAGCAGCAGTAGAAACATTACATACTGATTATTTGAATAATATTGTGAAAAATGTACCCAGAAATCAGGACTCTGCAAACTGCAGCCCACACACCAAATTTGGCCTGCTACCTGCTTTTGTAAATAAACTTTTATTGGAACACATCACACCCATTTGTTTAGTTAACGGCCTACATATGTCTATGTAGCTACTTTCACACTATAAAGGCAAAATTAACCGAAACTACAGGGCGAAAGCCTAAAATACTATCTCGCCCTTTACAGAAAATATTTTTCAACTTCTCCTTTAAGTCCACCTTTTATCTTTAATTTCTGAAAATCAAATTGTAACAAAACATTTTTCTTAATACTAAAAGCTGTATTTCACATTTAAAATTCATTTAAGCATCTTTTAAATATCAGCTATTACAGTCTTAATATATAACCCCGGATATCTATTAAAATTATTATTAGAAGTCTTATCTTTTTAGAAATGAAAAACATGTTATGTCACCATTTAATTTCAACACTAGAAGATATACACTTATATGTACTATATTAACTTACACAGTCTGGAACTTTCAGTCCTCTTACAGTTACATACAGTGTTGATGGGTAATGATTTCTTGGACATTTTGACCACCATTCAAACACCTCAACAACATTTAATTGGGATCGAGGCTTAGTAGGTGGGTAATACAGCTGCAAACGAAGTTTTGAGTTGATGTTTGCATTTCCATTGGCTCCCAGAAGCTTAAAACAAGAATTCATATAAAATGTGACCGTCACTGAAAATAAATATATCCAACAAAGCAATAGCATAAAGTCAGAAACATTTTTAAAAGATTAATATGGCATGCTGAAATTTCTTAGTTTTACAAAGCAAAGAACACTACATACTTAGTTAAGCACAGTTCCAGGTCATTTTTGACAAAAGGTAACCCAAATGGCTTTTAAAATATTTTCCTGATAGCTCTCTTTTCACATATACAATAATTTCAGACTGTTGGTACAGCATTTACACTACTGTGCCAGATTTCACACTGAACAAAGGATGTGATTGATATACAGTCGTCTGAAATAATAAGGTTAAACTGTATATTTACACAAGACACAAATTTTCTATTTGTTTAATATCAGTA